GTATGTGTGGTGTGTGTGTTCATGTGTATGTGTGTGTATGGTGTTTTTTTGGTGTGTGTGGTGTATGTGTGGTTGTGTGTGTGTATATGTATGTGTGCATGTGGTGTGTGTGTATGTGTGTGTGTATGGTGTGTGTGTTCATGTGTATGTTTGTGGTGTGTGTGTGTGTTCATGTGTGTTCGTGTGTGTGTGTGTTTGTGTGTGTGTGGTGTAGCGGGTCCATATGTATGCATGTGTGGAGGCCAGAGGACATCTCTCGTGCTGCTCTGCCATTGTCTGTCTTAGTCCCTTGAGGAAGGGTGTCTCACTGAACCTGACTTTGCCTTTTTCAGTGAGATTGGTGGCCAGCAAGGCCCAGCAAGCCTCCTGTCTCTCTTCCCACCCCTGGCTCTGGAACTGCGATATAAAGCCACACCCTACCTTTTATGGAGATGTTGGGGATTTGAACTCAAGTCCTTATATGCTAGGATATCTCCATCCTGGTTCCTATTTCTCAAAGAGGTGTAGATGTAAACATTTCTACATGGATGATTTTTAAAGTCTAATACAGGGTCAGATAAATATGGTATTTGGGTCAAATCTAGCCCACCACTTGCTTTTGTAAATAGTTTTAAAATTAATTTAATCAGCTCCAGATAGATTTATTATTTAATATATTGTCTGTGGATGCTTTTGCATCATGGCATGAGTTGTGTAACTGACAGAGATGATATGACTTAGCCTTTTATGAAAAAGTGTTTTGAGAAGAAAACAAAGTTCCCACAGTCCTCTGAAGGACCAGTGAGTGGCCCAGTGGGCAGCATGGGGTTTGCATCCAAAGAGTGTTGTTTTTGTTCCCTCTATTGTCCCCGTGTCCACTTAAACAAGTCACATTTACTTCCCACAGCACAAGCCTTTCATTCATAAAAATAAGTAAGTGCACACGTAAGAAGGTAATTAGTAACACACACGAAAGTATTTGGTCAAACTCAAATTGCTACATAAATCTGCAGCCTCAAATGCTGAGGTGAGCGTGTTCATTCCTTTCTTCCCTTCTGGGCACAGTAGGAAGGTCTACTCTCCCTTCCCTTCCCAGGCTGGATCTGGGCCTAGGCCAATGCTCTGGGTTTCTTTATCTGGTAATAGACAATTTGTTCCTAATTTAGAGTCTTTAGAATAATTAATTTGGTTTTGGGATACAAGGAACATATGATTAAGTAATTATATTCCTTTCTCTCTGAAGGGTCATGGTTAAAAGGCAGTGCCTTCTAGCCAATGGCATTGAAGCTTCAATCTTGGGCGATAAAGGCCCTTTGCCAGTTGGCCTCATTAAGTCCTTGACATGAGCTCCTACAATTTGTTATTAAACTGTGTTCAGTCCTCAACAATTTTACATTTCTATCCCAGGGCTTTGGAGTCACACGTTCATGGCACCCCGCTGCTGGCTTTGGACTCTTTATTGTACAGAATTTCTCTTGTGTCTAATCCCTCATCTACCACAATTACTGCATTACAGGAAAAATAATTCTATAATTGCTTTTCTCTATTTCCCTGCGAAACATTAAAATCCTGATCTCTTTTCCTTATCGCATGCCAAGCTGAGTAGAAAATTCAGTTCTGTCCACAAAGGGGTGGACTTTCTCTTTTATGTGTAGCACCTCCTTTCTGGCTTCTGGATCATGCGCTGTGGTTCTAGTATGAAAGCCTTGTGGTTTCAGAGAATAACAAGCCACAGAGTTAAGACCTGGAGGTAAAGTGCTCTGTGTAGCCAGTGATGGCGGAAGATGTGGGGACCCCAGGAGGTGCAGAGCATGCAACCTTCACAAGCTCCACATGCAAAGAGTCTTCATCCCTCCCTGACCTGAGTTGTTTCAAGTCTTGTTTTCTTTAGACTCTGGCAAGCAAAATGTTTTATTCTGTGTGTGCTTATTGCAAATTATGATTTTTAAGACATTATAAACACTATATTACATTTTTATACTAAATTACAGACATTTGGTTCTGCTCTACCAATGAATCTGGTAAGGCACAGAACACTTGATTAATTATACCAGAAGTCCTCAGAATAACCTCCAAATAGCTTATAAATATTAAAATTTGGACTATGATATATATTAATTCCAGCAGACATGTATACATTTTTCTTTAGAAGAAAACAACAACAAAAGGGTCTTCTGCCGGATCTCCTTAACTTGCCTACTCAAGCTCCTAAAGGCCGACTTTGGGGTCAGGAATGTAGCTTAGTAGGAAAGCAGCTAGTTGTCTGGCAAGCACAAGAACTGTGTTCCATCCTAGCACCATAAAGAGAAAAAAGTTGATTTTCACATCATAAAGGAAATGCGTCAGGGCTCCAAAGGTCTGATGAGCTTCAGCTTAGAAGATGGCACACAGAAGTGGGCACTGATACATCACCAAAGTTGAGACTTAACCTTGACATAGACACATCCCGTCTACCATAGCTAAAGCTGTGGCTTTCAGCTAAAAATCTGAAGAGAGTAACTGATAAATCTGCATTAAAGAAACAATAAAATGTACTTCTGTCCTGTCTTTCCTGATATGGAAGGATGCTTAGGAAATATTAGTTAATATCAATCTTACATAGTAATTTATCCAAAGATCATTAGAGACAGACAGTCCTGGATCTCAATATAATGCTACTACTCATTAACGATGACCTTGGACACACAAACCTAACTTCCCTGGGCCTCTGATTCATATAGCCCAAATCAAGATCCCCATAGCTCATTCATAGTGCTGCTATTAGGATTAAATGAGATATATTTACATATTCAAAATGGAGAAGTAGAGTTTTCAAAGGAAGTACATTATTACCAGAGCCAACATCATGAATGATCTTTGCATTATGATTGTGAATGAAAGAGGAAGTCCTAAAGGGTAGTTTACAGCATGGGTATCTTTGTAATGAAATGAAAAGCAACTAACATTAAGGAATTCAATTTAAGTATTGGAAGCATTCTATAATGAATATTGGACTTGTGAGCCTGATTGCCTCAGTGGAGCAAGACAGGGACAGGGCAAGGACAGGAACCACATGATTAGGCTTCCATTATTGGTTAATTTTTTATACCTTTTCTTTAGGATAGGAGATTCCCTGTTGTTATTATAGAATTTAAACATTGCTAAAAAAAAAAAAAAAAAAAAAAAAAAAAAAAAAAAAAAAAAAAAAGGCCGGGCGGTGGTAGTGCATGCCTTTAATCCCAGCACTTGGGAGGCAGAGGCATGTGGATCTCTGTGAGTTTGAGGCCAGCCTGGTCTCCAAAGTGAGTTCCAGGAAAAGGCGCAAAGCTACACAGAGAAACCCTGTCTCGAAAAACCCAAAAAAAAAAAAAAAAAAAAAAAATTGCTTAAAAAAACACTGAAGTATAAACACAGATAACTTAATGAATAGTGACACTTAAAAATACTGCGAAGATACATCTTTGAAGAAGAGAAGGAAAGTGGAAAAGTCTGTGATAGTCTCTGCTGTACCGAAATGACAGTTCTCTCTTATTTTTATAGAGAGACCAAGGAATCATGATATCATGTAAGAAACATGACCACCTGTCAAACAATTAATGGGACTGGAATGTGACCTAATTCCAAAGCTCGGGACACTAGTCAGTTCACTAAAGCTGCAATAAAGATACAACGGAAGTTGAAGAAAATTCCCAGATCCTACCCCTGTAGTTGTCCAGGTGATCTGTAAGATGCATGCCATGCTCAAACATAGAGGTACATGCCTGAGTACCCCTTCTCCCTGTAGCGGGGCTTGAGTGGGATCAGTTGATCCATCTGGACGTCTCAACGCAATGGCAGAAGATGAATTACTTGATTAAAACAATTCGTATGGGTGTGATATAGGCAGTTTATTGACAAATGCCTTTGAGCGTGCCCTGTCTTACGTTACGGCAGAGAGTGAGGGAACAAAAGGAAGTATGATGACTACATACATGCTAGATGGCATCAGCTCAATAAAACCTGGCTCTAGAAGGCTTTGAGAAGAAATATTTGCTTGACCCAGAAAGTTCTTTCCTTTATAGTTGTTCTTTTCTTCCTTTTTAAGATCTTCCACGCTACAAAGTATCTTGCTGCTAATTCATTCCATAGCCCCAAAGCCTCAAGTCCAAGACCAAATAATTACTGTTTTACTGGCATGTTCAGACATACGGGTTCTTCTGGGCAATGAGGCAAAACATTCAAAGGTCAAATTGTACTCCACGGGCCAGCAAGATAGTTCAGTGGGTAAAGGCACTGGCCTCAAGCCTGATGACCAAGTTCGGTCCCTGGAACATATATGGTAGAAGGAAAGAAGCAACCTCCAGACGTCATCCTCTGACCTCCACGTGCATGAGGGTGCATGCAAGTGCACACGCACACACACACATACACAAATCTGTATTTTTAAAAGCTCCTTAAACCTCAACCCAAATGATACCATATAAAGAACAGAAACAAACTTGGAGAGTACTTCTCCATGGGACGTAAACACAAAACCAATATCGATGATCCCATTGCCAAGAGTAAACAGCGATGGGATACGCTTATGATGTGGGATCTCTTTTATTTCTTTGCTCCGTGACTAGCTGAGTCTTCGTATGTAAAAAATATGTTTTCTTTTGTTAGCATTACTGGGTATCAATTAAATCACGTGCTTTTCCCATATCAATTTATGGTAGTACATTTTGTTAAGCTGTTTATGGAATGCTCAGATCTTTCAGCGTCCCCAGTAATCTTCCGTGTTTGCTGGTCTGCTTTTAATTTATCAAAGTCCTCTTCTAACAGACATAGAGCCAACACAGAGCCAGCAGAGACTTCCTCTATCCAGTGTGTATCTGATATGCTTCATGTTCCTCTGACACGTATAGAGGTTAGTGTGAGAAGTGTGTAAATTCCAGGAAGCATCTAAGGGTCTAGCCACACACAGATGCAAGAGCACAACACTTGATGTACTTGACAAATGGTTCATCTCTCTCATAAAGAAAGCTTTTTATCAACTATGATTGTTCTTCTTTTATTATTACCTTAAAGTACTGGAGATGTTTCTCGGCATGGGCTCCTTCCTTCTCTTGTCTCAGACAGGAATTGAAGATGAGAAGCTCCGTGTCCCTGAGCCACCTCTTCAGTTCCTTGATCCTGACCTCCAGCTGCCTGACCAGGCTTCCACTTTCAGGAGACAGCAGGTCCCGGGGGCCTGAGCTGTGGCCTGCCATCGTGTCCTGGATCTTCTCTCTTAGGGTTTTCTAATGCATCAGATAAAAAAAAAAAATAAGAAGAAACAAACCAAAACAAATATAGATTAGCTGACATGCCAAAGACACATTGCAGGAGATAACATGAGAGCACACAGTGATCCCTTCTACCTCATGACTGACATTCGGCTCTGATTAGCTTGATGGCGCCTTTGGGGCCTGCTTATTTAGTGCACACTATTCCCGCTACCAGTGGATGCACAAGGAAAACTTCAGTTTTTAGAATGAAGAGAAGATTCTAAGAGCTTTCACCGAGAAGAGTTTTGGTCCAAGTTACCATGGTCATGGACAAAAATTCATCTGAATTCTCATGGCAGAAATTTTATAGTGAAAAGTTGTCTACATAAAGTGTTCAAGAGAGAGAGAGGCCTGAGTTTAATCTATATACACAGGCCAAGAGTACATAGATTCCTTTTTTTTACTTCTGTGAAGTGTAACTCCCTAAATAATAGGAAAGAGCACTCTTAAGGAGGTATTCTGTGGTTCAGCTGTTGTGGATTTCACATGACTCAGGGTTCTTCAGCCCCATGGTTCTTCCTGCTTTTCCTTTTGGATTCAGATAATTTAATAGATATATGAAAACAATCCTCAATTCGCTATGCGATGATCCTGTGTAGTCCAAGCATTATGGCATAGAGATGCTTTCGAGCTGGTTTTCCTTTCTTTCTCTTTGGTAGAAGCACACTCTTTACAGAATCAATAGGATTTAATCTATAATGATAAATTAAACCTAGAAAAATACGCTTTAGAACACAAATAAAATTAAGTCAACAAACATTCATCTGCTCCACTGTGTTCTGTAAATAGTATCTTTAGGAGATCATGACAGAAAAATAGCCTTTCGTGGCAACACCCTTGCATTTTCATGGTGCAAATATTGATAATTTGAAGGCCCTCGGTGGACTCCAGATTTAGCTATTGTTTTTACGCGCTAACAAAGTGACAGCAGGAGGTGAAATCAGTGCCCTTGGAGGCTCGGGTCACAAAAAGGAATTTATTGCCACTTTTTTGTTCTGGAACAGTTTGCAATCATAAATTCTTTATAAACAGAATACTTCAGAGAATGGTCCGTCTTCATAAATATACGACAGAGGACATCAATTTCATTTAATTCACAATTTGTGTCAGCACAGCAGATGCCAATGCCCGCCTTGATAGGGTTGTTTAATATGCAATTGAGACAGAGTAATCTGCAGCACAGGGGACGAAATTTCACAGATTAAACTGTACGCACCACTGACATTTCATTCTAATGTATTTTCATTCCACACTGTTCACCTTAGATGAAAGAAATATTAAAAACCATATCCCTCTATTTTACTATTGTTAGAAGTTAAAATCCTTGTCTTTAATTTTTTTCATGCCAATTAAAATGTAATCATGCCAATTAAAGCAGAATGCCTACTGGTGTCGGTGTGGCTCCAGCTTTATTAAACTCATCTCTCTCCATCCTACTCTCCCCAAATTACCGCCAAACTGTACAGTATTTGAGTGATATATTGTCAAAATGGCAACTGTTTGAATGACATCTGACTCATAGAGACTAATTAAATACTGTGTCCTCAATGCAATAACAATTTAAAATTTTTTTGGTGAGGAATTGATATTCACGACACACTTGAAACAGTTTTCCAAGGGAGTACCGTTATTTATCAAATTAGGAAAGATACATTTTAAATGGAGTGTCAACTGTTTATCACTTTATCCATGAAGCCAATGAAGCTGCTATTCTTCTCTATTTTGTAAACAACCTTTGAAAACATCATACAGTAATCACACTTCTCCTGAGAGCAATGAGTGCTGTGGAATTTAGTAGGTCCTGATTTAAACCTCCCCATTTTCAAGCAAATTACATTAATTACCATTAAAAGGCAAGGCCATAATAAGTAAGAGTAAGAATTTTTTGAGATTTTTAAGTTACTTTGAACAACTGCAGAGTGTGGAGAATTTCGACGAGAAACGAGGGCTTAAATGTGCAGGTTTTTAATCACTTAGATGAAGCATGGCATGAACGGAACACTGGCATGGCTCCAAGTCATCACAGGACATGGAGAGCTCCTAATTCAAAATATTTCTAGAGTATTCTTTCTTTAAAAAAAAAAATTTAAAGAGGCAGACAAATAGAGGGCTTGAAAAAGGATGTTCTGTCACTGACACCACCCCTAGCAGCCATTATGACTAATCATTTAGGTAATTGGCAAATCTAGCTTACCCTTGATTTGAAGTGAAGGCAATTTAAGAGAGGAGCTGATGAACCACTACGGGCTATGTTCTCCCTCCTCTGTCACGCCACAGAGGGCCGGGCCGCCTCCTGCATGATGCCATCCAGGCCTCTAGCTAACAGAATGTCTATATCGCCTTTTTGCCTGATTCTCATATTTCTTTGACTGGGAACTACATGGAACTTTTTTTTTTTTTTTTTTTTTTTTTTTGGCTTCTGTTAAAAGCGCCCTGAAAAATGGAGGCACAAAAAGGAGGCTGATTTTAATTCTGCAATTGGGATTTGGGTCAAATTTGCATATTTGATTTGGTAGCTTTCATATGGCCTGAAAGCTGCAGTGGCAACCCCACTCTTCATTTTAAGGATACACTGACTAGTTAAACAGTGGATGTCTCTAACATGTACCTTCAGAACAAATTCTATTAACATTCATCCAAGCATGACAGTCAGTGTATATCAGATATACTGTATTAGACTTGACTTGGTGCATACCCATAATACACGGCATATTTTACTTACTTTTTTTATGTATTAAAGAACCAAAATTATTAAAATCTGAGAGGAGACAGCTCAGAATAAATTTAAAAAAAAAAACAGAAGAGGAAAAGCAATGTTTTCCCCATAATAACACGAGTAGCTTGTTTGAAATGTAAGGAGTGAATTGAAAGAGAGAGATATTTGTGCCTCAAATTAGAAATCAGACAGATAGGGTACTTCACCACACAAAAAATGTACACATAACCTACAAACAGTAATAAAAATGCAAATACCCCAAGCAGTTCCCATTTTTCATTAATTGAATCCACTTTTTCCAGGAGATCATTTGGTAGAGAGACGCCACCTTTCCTCAGCGCTTCAACCTTGCTAAGCAGCTCTGTCTTTTTCAGGTGCCTGATGGACATTTCCACACTGTACCGCTGAAATGACAGGAAAGGGTGAGCCATTAGGACAGAGGTGTTCCTGGGGAAAACCTTTGAGCAGAATTTCCACCTCTTATGGGGTATAAATATAAGATTTTGTTTTCAACACAATTTACTGATTATCACCTTTGAGGCAGGAAGGCTGCTGAAAACACTCTGAACAGCTGCCGCACGTGCCCACACAGAAACTTCTTCTTGTGCTGTCGGCTTCAGAGATTTTTGTCTTTTTAGACTAAATGTTCATATACAGTTTATGTACTGGACTTAGAATACAGTAACTAAGAAAATGCCTGGCCTGGAAGGGCTGACTATTTTTGTTAATTTGGGTCACCATTCGGCTCTGGAGTTGCCCCTCTCCTCCATCTCTCAGCAAATCCCCCTTGGAGAAGTTCTAAGTGTTTTGCTTTCTTCCACGAAACATATGTATCAATCACTTGCCAGGGAGGTGATCCTTTCTTCTTTAAGGAGAGGCACTTTTCAGATGGAGGTGATGGATAGAGGGAAATGTTTGCGCCACAAAGAATACATACATTTGGCTGTGAGTTATGAAAGTTAAGAAATGGTGGGTAGTCTCTAAAACATTTAGACTTTATGGACAAAAAAATCTAATAAAGTTATCTTTGAATGAAAAACATTATCCATAAAGATTATGTGGCTTATTTCTTTTAAGTTCCCTAAAGTCGCAATTAATATTTTGTTTTTCTCTTTCTTTTACTTAAAAGCTCTGTGAGAGCCAAAGACACATAGAAAGAGGGAGAAAGCATGATAGTTCCTTGGGATAGCTATAGATTATAATTGCTATCATAAACTGCCCTGAACTTCTCAGCTGATTACTGAACCTTCCTGGCCACACAGGTACGCACTATATTCTAACACACTGTCAAGTAAGTCTCTTAAAAGATGGCTCCTGCGGACAACGTAATAGCTACTTAGTAAAACAGCTTTGTGGTGGTATTCTTCAAATACCTTTATTTGGAAAAGTTCATAGTCAGAAAGTCTTATGAACAGCTATATATAACGATCATACGTATGTGTGGGGAGGTGTATATCAAAATATACTCAATTATAAAAATTAGATTATGGGGAAAATATTAAATGTACTTTACAATTTAATGTACATTTCCAAAAATGTCTTTCTTTGAAGCAACAAAGCCAGGTGAGTGGGCCCCAGGGTAGCATTGTTCCTTTCCCCTAAGTGAGCACGGTTGCCCCAAGGTAAACACTATCATTAGACCTAACAAGGAAAACTTTTACGTGGGCAAAGTATTGCCAATCTTGAGGTTCATAATATCCCCAAATACTTGGATGATTTGTAGTCCCCTCAAAACACCTTATATAAAACTCTACACTAGAATTGGAATTAGCTTGAATGAAAAGAGGGCATGAAAACTGTCCCAGGAACTAGATCTTCAGCATTTGTGTGCATATGTTTGCATACTTTTAGTTTCATATTTTAATCTTCCATTTACACTAAACGCGCACATCATTTGTATTATGTAAACTTCTCCAAATGTTAGGCACTTGTGCATCAAAGAACAAAATGTTTTAAATGAGGTGATTTAAAGCATTTTTTTTATTATTAATGAATGTTGATCCGGGTGCCAGAGTATCCAAAATTACATGAATATGCATATTGAAGAAAATCAAGGGTTGCTTTAGAGTCCTTTCAGAATTTGGACTGTGAAACATGGGAAATTCTGATTACATTTCTAACTGCAGACAATTACCAGGATCAGGTTACTCCATTACAGAAAACACACTGTCCACTTAAGTTTTCTCAACTCAGTACTCAACAAGTATTCTAGAAACCTAGATAGTACATTATTTGTCAGAGTGACGACTGAAGGAGAGGCAATCTGCTTTATGTAATCAGATTCCCATGTAAGATTTACATAACTAATTAGGTAAGACTGACATAATGTGGTGGGGGGGGGAGTCCTACTTCAGCCAGGGAGAGGACTATTATTCAAATCTTTCCTTATGTCATGTGTATTAATCAACAGAGAGATTTCTCTAGCTGTGCCTTCTGGGAGTGGCTTCTACTGCTTATTGGCTTTTCTTGTGGCAAACTCTTCTCCTCTCTCTCCCAACTTTAAATATCTCCTCCATCATATGTTAGTAAGAAAGGAGGACAGTTTAGATTATCCCATGAAAATGATAACCTTGCAATAATGCAAATACAAAAAAGCAACTAATTTGATTTTAAACATAGGAAAATAATTTTTCCTATCAAATGTGGTATGCGTAGTCATGGCAATAGTTACTAAGATGGTAATTAGATTAAAAAAGCCTTGTTATTATGTATGCTCTCTTTGTCACTGCACAGCCTACTGCATAAACAGCCCGATGAAAGATGTGATTGATAGGCAATGCCTTCAAACTATAAAAGCCAAGAGAAGCTAGTTAATTGTTAGATATATTGATATGTGAATGGAGAGTACTAGAATGTCCTGTAATTGAAGGTGAAAGCATTTGAGTTTTGAGATGCTGTGAAGGTTGAATCTAAAATGATTTAGGGCCTCAAGACTGTGTGTATAATGATGCTAGGAGGGTTGCATTTTTGTTGACTCAACTAAACATTTCCTCTTCCCTTGCTAGCATCTTTTCAGGAGCATCAGATGGGGAGAACCAACCATTGAATCTCTCTACCCTTGGTCCCCTATCAAGTGGGCTACTCTATCCTGCAGTGAGAAGATAATTTAATCTTCATATTCATTTCACCCACAGCAGTAAATGAGCAGAAGCTGCCCCATTATGTCCCATAGTTTGGGGATGTTATCATACAAACCAGTTTTCAATAGCCAAAAATGAGATTAGCAAAGTTAAAGTCAGCTGGCTGTTCTTGAGTGCTAAGGTAAATAAGCATCCAGCATTTCACTTCCCACAGCACCTGCTGTGGGCCTCGCTGCCCAGTCAAAAATAAAATATACTCCATTCAAAGAGCATATTTACATTATTAAGTGTATTTGCTTGGCCAATTCAATTTGGTCTAATGAATCCTCTTAATAGATTTGTGAACGATCTAAATTAAAGACACAGGCTGCCAGTGTCCGAAAAGCTGTTTCTTTGGGTATAAAGAAAAGTAAAAGAAAAGACAGAGTTAGTAGTCGTCCGTTGTCTTAACTAAGAATTAAAACTGAAATTCTGATTTCTAGTGTATAATTTTAAAAGCACAAATGATGAAAAACAAAGCCAGGAAAACCAGGGCTTTAGGAAATAAACGTACTTAGTGGCAAATACAGACTTGATTGAGATAACTTTTTTTGACACTCATTCCAGGCTCTCTCCCCTCCCTTAAACGCTCACCCCTTCCCTTTCTTCCTCTTCTTCTTTTTTCTTTTTTCTTTCTTTCTTTTCTTTTCTTTCTTTTTTTTCTTTCTTTTTTTTTTTTTTTTTTGTTAAAAATCACACCGAAAATTCTGCCCAAATGGAGAGTGGAACAATGCCTTGAAACAGTGTTAATTGTCACCATGGAAACCAGAAGAATAAGCCATTTTGAAACTGGTATAGAAGGCACACATTGAGAAACTCAAGCATTTTTCTGCCTCCCTCAATGTTAAAGAACAAGATGCCTTGTCACGGTGAGGTCAGAGAAAGAAAGCGTCATGAAAGGGTGTAGATAGTCAATGTCTAGTAAATAAAAATAATAATAAAAATACACCAGATATAGCTAATGCTGTAAAAGACTCTACCCAGTGAATCTTTTTGAAACAGAAAGATTGCCAAAAGATGGCCAGGACTGGGGGATGGCTCCCACCTAGCAAAACTTCAGGGCTACATTATGTGAACCTTGCCCCCAAAGCTCCCTGGGAATTCTGCTGTTGTAATAAAACTTCAGAAGAGGGGAGAAAAAAGGCAGCATGATGGAATTCAAAATAATGCTCTAAAAGCACACAGAGAGATTAAGACATTCTTTGTGAGACTTTTGTATGGTGCTTCTGGTGGTCATGCTGAAAAGCGACCAGACATTGCTAACCGGAGAGAGAAGCTGTGGCTACCAGAAACACTAGAATTAAACAAACCATTTTCTGATTAAAGCATATGACTGTCCAACTCTGCGTCATCAGGATTTGAGTATTTATATCACACAATATGTTGTTTTTAAACGGGCATCAGGTGACTTTATATTAAGAAGAGTTAAGATAAAAAACAATTACCTAATAAGAATGACACATTTGAATCTTTGTCCATGCAAGTTAATATCTCAAACACCTGTGTATTTGTCATAACAATCTCCCCTTCCCCACAACAGGCAGAAAAAGAAAACACAGGTGAAGACAAAATGTATCTTAGTCTAGCAATAAGAAAGTGTATGCAAGGAACAAGGAACATACCCAACCCAAATGACCACAAAATAACATGTAAAATTATGTATTTTTCACACAAATGCAAGGACATGTCTGTGACTCTCACACTGTGTTCTCTGGCTAGTGTTTGCCCTCCTCATTTGAGACTTCATGGTGGCCCCTCAGCTAGTCCATGCCTAATGCTATTCACTGGTGAACAAAGAATCTTTTGATAGGAAAGTCCAGGTCCAGAGCTCAGCTGTACTGGTAGAGGCCAAGGCTGCCTCTGCAGCGGCTCTTGTACTGCCCTCTTTTAGACGGTCTGCGTCCAGCATCTCACAAAGCCTGTGATGCTTCACAAGGAGCCAGTATCCCCAACACTTAGGATGTTCAAGATTCAAGAAGACGGTAGTTCAAGCGCCAGACAAGTAATAGTGGCTACTTCTTGCAAACGATTTGTATCTTACCATGAGAATTTACGGCGAATAATTGCACAAAGAAATTATAAAGACTCCTACAATTGTCCTTGTAAATTAATAATAGGCTTTCTTGATTGGGATAAATTTGCTGCTGAGCCTTTGGAAAAATTAAAAAGTGCAATGTCATTTAAAATTGCCAGAACTCGCACAGCAAATTACATCTGAGGTTAAGAATTGAGCTCCCCCCGTCTTCTAGCTTATTCCATTTGCATGATCTGGAAATCACATTACA